AGACAAAATATGGACATTTCACCTCATAAATTAACTTAAGGTGGATCATCTTTTTATTCAGGGTTGTTTTGGGGGAGCAGTGAATTTTTAGAGCTCTGGTTTAGACAGTGTGATTCTATGAAAATTGCTTGAGTCCAGTTCCCTTATGGAAATGCAGATCTCAACTCCTTCCTCTTCTGGCATACGTAAGTTGGGAGAGGGCTCATTTTTCACAGTTTAGGATTGCTTGTGGAGGAGAAAAAACAGGGCTCAGTGTCACTGAAAACCAAGCTGAAACATCCATGAATTCCTCTGAATTAGTTTCTCGCTACCCCTCATACATTTTTTTCTTCCGGGTTTGCTCTGTCGTCTCCTGGACTGCACCTGAACTAATCTGAACGCTCTGATCGATTCTGGTCCTCCCTTTCCTCTGCAGGGCTCCTCAGTGGGCAGACCTCTCCCACCACCACCAGGCTGGAGAAGCTGGAGCCGCAGCAGGTGCTGCAGCTGTGCCTGCGTTACCAGGACCATCTCCACCAGTGCGCCGAGGCCGTCGCCTTCGATCAGAACGCGCTCGTCAAGCGCATCAAGGAGGTACTTACTGCCCTGTGTCCCCTCCTTGGGGGGGAAGGGCTCGGGGTTTCAGGGAATGCAGGTGCTTGCCCTGGGTAGCTGTGTGTCACCTGCAGCAAATCTGCTTCAAAGCGACCTCTGCGGAGAAACACCGTCCCTGTGCACCTGGAGCGACGATTCCAGGTTTTCCTGGTGGTTACTGTTGGGTTGTGTGTTCATTGGTTATGCCCTGTGATTCCTGGCCATGAACATTCCTGGCTGTTCTTCTGGTATGGCAAGTGCTGCTGTTGAAGAAGCTGTTGAAGCAGTGAAAGATTACTGATGTTTCTAAAGGTAGCGTTCCTTGTTTAGATCTGTGTAGTGTACATTTTATTATGTCCTACGGTTGGGCTCTGATAAAAGGAAAGAAACACTTATCTAAATATCTATGGCTGGAGAAGGCAGCACTTCAATGGATTTGAAGAGCTAGACTTGTTTTCAAAGCCCATAACGTGCTGTCTTGTTTCTGATCTGTGTGGCAAAAAGGTCTTCCGGTGCTGTTGCTTTTACCAGTCAACCGTCATTTGGAAATCACCAGTGTGTTTAAATATTGAATGATACTGTTTGGGATTAAATTAATTCCTGGAATGAGCATCCTGCAGCTGAACTGTCCCTCTCATATGTGATTACTGATGCTGAAAGCAGTAGGATGGCTGACAGGTTGTTTTTTTTTTTTTTTTTAACTCAAGACAGGCTGGTGTGATAGGAGATGTTGTTTGAGAGTGTTTTCTCAGACACTCCCAGATGTGTAGAAGAATTGGTGAACGTTGCATGTGTCAAAAGTTCTTGGGACCAAATACCTTTCAGAGTAAAAAAAAAAAAAAATTTTGAAGACATGGTTAATTTTTATTCCTGCAGTATAAGCACTGACCTTGATTTGTTGTCGCTCTATTGGCTTAAGAGTTAAGAAAACCCCACGTGACAAAATGAATAATAAATGTGATTTATGGGCTGTCTTGAGAAGCTGCTGTCATCGTGAAGTTTTCAGTCCAGAGTAATATGGGAGCCATTAAAGTGGCCTTTCCATTTTGGTGTAGCAAGACCTGAGGCCAGCTATGACACAAGATGCAAAGATATTCGCAGATGTCGGTGGCTCAGATCACACAGTCTCAGAAATGGGATTCAGTTGCCAGCCTGGTGACAGTGTACTGCATTAACCCAAGCAGACTGTAATTCCTTTGGCTCTTAAAGTGAGAGAGGGAACATTGACATGATTTTAAAGTCATTGTGGACTCCGTGAGTGCAATCTGCATTAACTGGGCTTGCCTTCTGCAGGGCAAGTGGCAGAGTCCCTTTCAAATTAGCAGTGGTAGTTTTCTTCCAGTTTGTAAAGCTTGTGCTTATTTCTCATCTGAAATAAATAAAATTATGATACTGATATTCTCACTGGCTTCTTTATAACAGACTCCTCTGACAAAGTGACGGTAACTCAGGAATGCAGGGAACTGATAAGTCAGATGTGGGTTTTTTAGTTTTTTGGACACAGCATTTAAGTAACTTCAGATGCTTTCAATCCTTCTGCCAGATCTGTGGGGTTTTAGGGAAATGAACGCTAATAATTTTTAAATTGCATTGGCTGTTGTGCATGTGTGTTCTGGAGGAGCTGGGTGGGACCCAGTCAGCTTAAACTGTTCTTTCCAAATTGTTTGGGCTCTGCTTGCTGAGCTAATCGAACCACTGGTGACAGTTTGTTGACAACAAGGGGGTGCAGCTGAACTGGAGCAGGGCATGTCTCGTTACCAGTGTAGACAAAGGAAATCACATTTGGCATCACCCATTTGTCAGCAGTGATTTAGTTTTGCCGTGTACACAAAGCTCTGACCGCCAGTAAAGAGTAGAAATGAAAGAGAAAATAAAGTGTATTGTGAAAAGCATGAGCTGGGACAGTAAGTTCTTTTATCCTCATTTTGGTAGCCAGTATTTCCCTTTTCCTTCCTTTAACAGCGTAACCATTGAAGTGTTTTTTCTTCTTCTAACAGACTTATCAAGTGATATCCTACCCTTTTTCTGAGGTGTGTTCAGTTTTCAGGCTCTCCCTGACCACACTCAGTGAGTAATTGTCCTACTGTACAGAGTGCTGCACTCTCACTGTCTGCAGCCAGGAGTGGTTTTTTAGTCTTTCCTTGGCCAAATGTCCCAGGGCACATATCTTTTGTTCATTGTCTGTGTTGCCAGAAAAAAAAAGGTTTCCTGGATTCTGTCAGAACTCAGAAGTACTGTTGTAAATTGATTGGTCCTCGACAACTCATAATTGAGTTGCGGTGGTTTGTAACGGGCACACAGCCTGAATTACAGGGGTTCTCAACAGCAAAGAGAGTAAGTAAAGAAAAAAAGAATGCTTGCATGACAGCAGTTACTGCAGATCTGAGCAGAAACATTTGTGCATTCCTTAACTTCAGGGAGCAAAACAGTTTAGCTTCGCTATCCATCCCACTTCCCACTTTATCCAGAATTTCTTTGCAGTGTGTTGGCCGGATCCATGTTTGCTCCTAAATTTTAGAAACTGGTAAAAAGAAAGGTGTACAAGATGAGTTTGAAGGGAAATGCTGATCAGTGCTAAAGGTATCACTGGGGAAAAGCAGGATGAAAACTGGGTTACATGAAATCTTTATCTGTTTTGGGTGGCAGGGAGAGACTTTCAAGAGTGATGTCATAGGGGATGGTGAGGAACAGGGAATGGGAAACAAGTAGAATAGGTAAAAGCTGGGGAACAGAGCTAAATGTTCAGAAAGGGCCCATGATCAAAAATTTAGGCCTATTCTTTCTGTGGGAGCCCCCGGTGGTCCAGGGGAAAATTCACTGCACTGTCACTGCAGAGACCCGGGTTCGATTCCCGGTCGGGGCCCCTCCCCGGGCAGATGGAGCTCGTTAGCCCGTAAGGCAATCCATCTACGTCCTGAGGACCTCGCTGCCACCGTCCAAGCGTGCTTGGCCCCGGCAGATGAACCTCAGG